GTACATTTTCAATTTCAAAAGGAGTTAATTTATTGTATGGAAGGTCAGAGCTTACAACTCGAGTTCCTCTTTGAAGCTGGGACCCCAACAGAGCCACTCTGTAAGGTGTGAGAAGTCACACACACAAGTTGCCTGGAAGTCTGGCTTCAGTACAAACTAACGTTCTCATTTGCCATATGTCTTGATTGCCTCTTAGATAGGGAGTCATTTGATATGTTAATGATCATTAGCTCTCAAGAACAAAAAAAAAAAAACCTTGTGTTTCAATATGATATGCAAAAGAGACATTAATACCTGAAACCAATAAGCAGGCAAGTAAGTGGGCACATGTGGGTATGGTACTCAGTGACGGCATGCCGTCACAGTGTCTCTTTCTTCCCCATCACCATTGTGTGTTTCTTTCACCCCAGTACATTTGCGTGTCTTTTTCTACCATCCATAGTCTCTTTCCTCTTTCTCCATTCCCAGCCCCTCCTAATCCTAAAGCATTTGGCTTTAGTAAATCTGAGAATTGCCATTGGAATTCAGAAAAAAATCAAATGTTTAGTGAATAACCCTGCTAGTCTCACACTATCTCCCATTTAAAATTTTTATAAGGGGTCATTCACCCACTCAAATCATCATAATCACTGCAACCCCCTGTAGTGGTTATGATGGTAACAATACCCTTTTCGATGCTCGACGGTAATGGGTAAAACCATATTTCAATGAAGTACCCTTGTGCCAGTGCCCTGTAATTGGACAAATCAATTTACAACAGGTACAATGAAGTAACCTTTTAAATTCCACCAATAGACTACTACCTACCCACAGTATTGCCTTAAAGGACCAGTATAGTGCCAGGAAAACAAACTCGTTTTCCTGGCACTATATAGTCCTTAGGTCCCCCCCACCCTCAGGGCCCTCCTCCCGCTGGGCTAAAGGTGTTAAAACCCCTTCAGCCACTTACCTTAATCCAGCGCCGGGCTCCCTCGGCGCTGGTGACCTCTCCTCCCCCTCCAACATCAGCTCCCGAGTGGAGCCGAATGCACACGCGCGGCCAGAGCCGCGTGCGCATTCAAACCGCCCACATGTGTTCAATGTGATTTTTGCATTGAGCGTCGCGGAAGCGCCTGTCAGGAAGACAGCCACTAGAGGCTGGATTAACCCTGCAATGTAAACATAGCACTTTCTCTGAAACTGCTATGTTTACAGCTGCAGGGTTAAAACCTGGGGGACCTGGCACCCAGACAACTTCATTGAGCTGAAGTGGTCTGGGTTACTATAGTGTCCTTTAACCCCTTAAGGACAGATGACATGTGTGACATGTATATATATGTAACGTCATACATAATGTATTTTAATATTAATATAAGTATATATTAAAATTAAAATACACTTAGAATGACGTTACATATATATAATATGTATATATATATTATATATATAATAGATATATCCACATATATTTTATATATATATATATATATATATATATATATATACATATATATACGTATAATTACAATAATAAATAAATTAAATAATAAAATAAATAAATAAAATATTGAAACAAAATTTAATATAAATTATATATTCATATGTAATTTCATTCTAACTGTATTTTTTTTATTAATATATATATATATATATTGGTAACAAAATACACTTAGAATGACATTCTATATATATCTATCTATATATAAAATACAAATAACCACAAATAAATATATATAGATAAATACATATAATTACATAAAAGATTACATTAGTATACACGTAGAATTTAAATACCTATAAATGCATATGTATTAAAATTCTACGTGTATATTTAAGTAATCTTTTAACATAATTATGTGATTTGATTAATTCAAATTTGATTGACATGCCTGACAACACAGGGAGAAAGTGCAGAGAATTTAATTTGCAAGCACTATATTTGACCCTGTAACTCTCCAAGACACCATAAAACCTGTACATAGGGGGGTACTGTTTTACTCGGGAGACTTCGCTGAACTCAAATATTAGTGTTTAAAACCTGTAAATTGTATTACAATGATGATATTTTAAGTAAAAGTGACGTTTTTTGCATTTTTTACAAACGAACGTCATGTTTATGGACTATATTATTGTTGTAATATGTTTTACTGTTTTAAAACACTAATATTTGTGTTTAGTGAAGTCTCCCGAGAATAACAGTACCCCCCATGTACAGGTTTTATGGTGTTTTGGAAAGTTAGAGAGTCACATATAAGGCTTGCATTTTTTTGACACTGAAATTTGACAGATTGGTTATGTTGCCTTTGAGACCATATGGTAGCCCAGGAATTACCCCCATGATGGCATACCATTTGCAAACGTAGACAACCCAAGGTATTGCAAATGGGGTATGTCCAGTCATTTTTAGTAGCCACTTAGTCACAAACACTGGCCAAATATTAGTTTTTTTGCTTTTTTCACAAAAAAACAAATATGAACGCTAACTTTGGCCAGTGTTTATGACTAAGTGGCTATTAAAAAAGACTAAACATACCCCACGTTCAATACCTTGGGTTGTCTACTTTTTCAAATGGTATGCCATTATGGGGGTAATTCTCATTCCTGGGCTACCACACCATCTCAAAGGTAACATTACTAATCTGGCAAATTTCAATGTGAAAATGGAACGTTCTATATTTGACCCTGTAACTTTCCAAAACACCATAAAACCTGGTAATGGGGGTTACTGTTGTACTCGTGAGACATCGCTGATTACAAATTTTTTTTTTTTTTGCAGTAAAACATAACAGTATTATGACATTTACACCTAAAATGTGAGGCGGAACTACAAATTTTTTAAAAAAAAATAAAATTTCTCACAGTTTTTTAAACTTTATTCATAATAAATTATGTTTCATATATAAATATTTGATATGAAATGAAAGTTTCTCCTGTTTCTCCTGAACAAAATGATATATAATAAGTGTGGGTGCATTTAATATGAAAGAGGTGAATTATGGTTGAACAGACATTTAGCGCAAATTCCAGTTTTTGTTTACATTTTGTTTTGATCAGAACGTGCACTATTGAATCAGTCCTGAAGGGGCTAAATTTGCTTGCGCCCTTTTCTCATGCTTGAGCCCTTTTCTTATGCTAGAGCTCTTCAGCAGAGCTCTGTGCATGGTCTGCCCTGGAAGAGCATTGAACCAACATGCTCACTTTGAGATGGGGCATGCTTGTCATTGAGGATCTGACCCCGCCTCCTTTTAAGTGGGCCGCTGTGGATAAAAAACGACCAGGCTGAATTTTTTCCCCAGGCTGGCCCTGCTAGTCCCTCATATTGAAAGAAGGTACTAACAACCTTCAGGGAAACTTTTAAGCGTTAAATTACTATCTGTAATAATGGTAACAAGTCCACCAGGTGGCGATATGCTGCTCCCTGCTCTGCAAAGGGATGATTAATTGGAGTAATAGCTAACAGGAACAAATACATGGCACAGAGGGAAACTCTTTACAATTTTTGATAGTAATGTTTAGCTTACTTTATAAGTACTCACTACTTATGTGTACTTACATAACATATCAAAACATCTCTCCCATATCTGTATAGTCAGGATTAAGTATGAATCACTCTATGTGGCCTCATGTGGCTGAGAGTGATGAGAGTGGCACTACCTGTGCATTTATGACCATCTGCGGGCCTGATGAACCGAGGCAGGCAGAGCGTGTGTGAGACAGCTTGTCACGACACTCCTTAGTTGATTTGCCCTCGTGCATTACTCACACTCACCACTGTTTCTGTTTGGCACTGTTCCTGATTTCTTTTCATTAAGCACTTCACCTGGTCCTTGTTTAGCACCTATTTAGTTTGGTTTCTCCCCTCACTCCTTGCCAGATCATTACCTTTTGTTTCCTGTTTCCCTGGTCTCTTGTGTTCCTGGCTCCTGCTTACTGTGACTTGGTCCTGTGTTCTCCTGATCCTGCGTTACTGTGTCCTCCGATCCAGTGCTCTGGCTCCGTGGTCTCTGATTTACTACCAGCGATCCTGTCTCTGCAGCCTTGCTGATTTATTCGTTGTTGTTGTCACTACATTAGTCTTGTGACTTTGGATCTGTGCCCTACCTGATACCCGTGGTAGCTGCACAATCCTACCCTAATACCTAAGGACTATTACAGTATTTGTTGCCTGCACGATTCGTGCTTATTTTGATTTACAGTGTATATATTTTGTGGCCTTGTCCAGGGCCGGACTGGGGATTCAAAGCAGCCCTGGAAAAAAAAAATGTATGCCAGCCCCATAAGGCCTTGTGTCACGTAATGTGTATGTGTGTAATATATATATATTACACACATACAAATATATACAGTTCAATATTGCTTGGCACTCCTGCTATAATATAATCACTGTTTTAATACCAGGTGCTAGACTGTGGTTAGAGGCGGCTCTATAATTAGGCAATTTAGGCAGCCGCCTAAGGCCTCGCACAGTGGCTTGCTCTGTATGCCACCGGATGCTAGGCCCCTCCAATCGGCCCGGCAGGAGAGCGTCAATTGCAGACACAGGTCTACAGCTCCGCAATGTGCATAGCTGCAGACCACGTGTCTCGCGAGATCTGGCCAATCAAAGCGTTGCTGCAGGTTACCACGGCAACGCTCTGACTAGATATCGCGAGATACATGGTCTGCAGTTCTGCGGAGCCGCAGACCGGATATTATGGCCACCGGACCACCAGGGAGCTAAAAAAAAAAAAGTATTTAAT